AAATAAAATCACATTTGTCTACAGACTACTGCAAAAGAATGAAAACATCATCTAAAATGACAACTAAGCTAAACATATCTAGCATGGTATTATATAGAAAATTGTTCATTTCAAAAGAAAAGCAATCATGTAAAATTGTTACAGGGTAGCATTTTTACATGGTCCAATATTTGTTTCTATGGTCTGCATATAGAGCCTATCCAGACCTTTGCAGCAGAAATAAGATACAGTAGTCATACCCTTGCCCTACTTTTCAATCATCCCAGAATATTGCCTCCATAGCTAACAGTGGTGCATTAAAGGATGCACAGAATTGCACTCTTAATGCTTTGGCATTCACTATACAGTATGTATTAGTGGGTTGTAGGGATTCTTAAAATTATTATTTTTTTCATTTGCAGATATATCACTACATCCCTTGAAAACACTGTCAGTGCTATTAACTCGAAGAACCAAGGTTTACTTATTAATTGTGGATTGGGATACATATAGTGCCTTTCTACTAGCCCTGTATGTAATTGGGCAGGTTGTGGTGTTGTGTGTTATGTACAGTAATATGTGATTGCCATGTCATTATTTGGTTATGCTGATCCAATACTGTTTTATCCAGATGTTGGTTACCAGGTATGTGATATAGAGCAGGGGTCCCAGGGAAACTGGGCCGTACAAGCATCAGGCAAGCACACATCTGCAGCTCCACTTGCACAAGCGGCAGGCAATCACACATGCACGCAAAGCTCCATTTGTGCAAGTGGCATGGGTGTGCACCTGCTGCTTGCATGGAATTATCCCCTCTCCACTGCTGTTGCCAATGGTCCGCAAAGCCAGAACAGTTGGGACCACTGATAGAAAGGGAATGTTGTTGTGATCAGTGCTGTTTTCTTCTTGGTTATACAACTGTTAACCAAAAGTCAGATAAGCAAAATATTTGTATAATGGAAGCCAAGTAACGACATCTTAATCTGCAGAAAATATAAACATCAAATACCATCGGCCACCTAATCACATACTGGGCAGGCGGTATTCCATAATTTACCAAAAGATTTTACTTCTCCATGAACAACCCAAAACTCCAATCCTGAATGAAATATACAGTATTCTCCACCATAGCAGCACTTACATATTGCAATAAACTTTACAGTTTTAGAAAAAAACTCTCTATAGTTTTTTAGAGTGTCAACCCTGAAGTGAGCCTGGCTGAGGTAATCTTTTAGGCTTCAAGTCTGCCATAAAGCAAAGGGCAGTGTGAAGGGTGGGGGGAATTTTAGATAGCTCAGCTTGGCCATCAAAATAAAAACCTTTCTTGTGGGAACCAAGATCATTCCAACAGGTGGCTGAGAAGTGGAGGAGTGGAGTAACCAGGCAACCTGCTAGCACTACTATTGGAAAATATGAGTGATGACCTAATGAGAACTTTTACTTTTTAATTAAGTGAAAACCACAGGAACATTTAGGGTTGGTTTTCGCCAGTTGTGTCAATATGATATATACAACAAATTGTTCTTTGAAGAATATACATGCCTCGGAGTTCTGCTTTCAATGGATGCATTACTTGGAACGCAGATAGTGGGTCCCTATATTTTAAAATATATACATTTATGCAGTATATATATTTAAATTTGGTTCTTCAATCAAATAATATTCTTTTCAGTCAAGGCTACTCTGTTTTATTTTTACTCCCACTCAGTCTTTTTTTTCTTTCATTAAAACATATTAAATCTATCCAATCATTAATTATAACAGTGCTACGGGGTTGGATTGGCTCACACCAATCACACATACAGACACACAAACACACACACACTAAAAAAGGAAGACAGCAATAATAGCATATTTTGCGACAATTACCTTTATACAGTCATATACAAGTCATATTTCATTATAACTTGACATATTCTAATTAAACTACTTCTAGATATTAATTGATTAATCTATCACTGAAGAAGTAATTTGTATAAACCTGCTACTATTTTCACTAGGAGATGGGAATCATGCTATAACTACTACTTTAAAATACAATAGCTTTTTAAGGAAAACTGTCTGAAACGGGAAAGTAGATAAAGAGTCTTGAGGTCTGAAAACACCCAGGAAAACCTTTAAAAATACTGATAAAGAACTTTGAAGAGAATTTCATTTTTTCCCAACCCAATGAAATATCAGAAGAAAAAAGATAAGATGGTTCAAGACTTTGCCTGTCTGTCTGTCAGTTGGACAAGTCTCCAAATCCTGAACAGAATGAGACCAAATTTTGTACGGTGGAAAAAAATGAAAAACAGATTGGATCTAAAAATGAGGTGGATCCAGCTTGGGTCTGCAGTGTTGAAAATTTTCCCACTGTGTCCTTATGAGAAAGGCAGTTGGGCAGCGAATCAGAGTGTCCCCTAATCTAAGCCCACCCCAGAGTTTAAGCAAAGCTATTTTTAAGGGGTTGCAAAAAGTTATAGAAACCTCGCTATGAATGCTTTCCTCTTCCTTTTGTTTTAAGTATCCCAAAAAGCTTCCGCATCAAGTGTTCCAGTTCTCAGAAGCTGCACACCATTAAGACCACTTTCTCCAGAAATAGAGCAAAACAAAAGATATGCTGATGGAGATGTCAGTGAGTTGCTCAAGCTCAAAGATAAATGGGTTATTATGGATCTCCAGGCTTTTTGAAGATCATTTTAAAGAAACCACCAAATCATTCTGACCTCCCTCACTATTTCACTTGTAGAAAGCAAAATAGGAAAACTTCTAGATTATTTATTATTGCTACATAAATTTGCATTATTTCCAGAAATAATTCCTGAATTGCAGTGTAACCCTGAAGAGCCAAAATCATGCAGTAAGCATGAATACATGTACATAGAGTGAAGATATGGTATAATTTAGCAAAAGGTTTGCCTGTCAGAAGTCACTGTTAGCCAAACTAAAGGCAGCTGGCTTTTGATACACTGTATAGAAGCTACAACTCAAATCAATTGAAATTTTATGCCCCCAAGTCTTTCTGAGCAACATCTGTGGAATATCTATAAGAATATTGCAGGTACCGTCTTTTAAAGATGACAGCCTAAAGCCATAATGTAAAGTGCTCCATTAAATGGTTCAGTGGTGTTTTTGCTAGCAAGGTTTTTTGAAAAATGGCATCCTTGCACATCACAAATTGCTAACCAGTTCTCTACAGACATTACACAAATTCAGAATTTCAGAAATTGTCATGCAGAGTAAGACTTCTATTCTGTGAACAATAAACAAACAAATCAAGTTGTACATTGCTATTCCACAGGCTTTTTGGATTGCACTCTAAATTTCCAAAGCAATATATTTCGTTTTTCACTTTGTTGTATGCCACCCAGAGTTGACTGTAAGATGGGCAGCTGTATAAATGTGATGAATAAATAAATATGTTTAGAAAGTACATGCTTTTAAGTTTATAAAATTTATTACTGTGTTAATATTTTTATAGCAGTATCCAAAATGTGGTCCTATATTCACTACTTTGCTACAGTCAAATGGTAAAAAACAAAACAAAACATGACCACTGATTTATCTCATCAGGTTAGTTTAATATTGTCATTTGTCCTCTAACCCAGGGGTCCCCAACCACCAGGCCCTGGACCGGTACCGGTCCGTGGATCATTTTCTACCGGGCCACCGGTTTGCTGGGTGCCGCCATCTTGTTTCGACGAGAAAGTGCTTCCGGGTGAGCTTTTCTGGTTGGAAAGCAGCGTTTGGGTCCTGAAGGAATCCTCGCGCCTTAGTTTCATCGGGGGTGGGTGGGAACGGCTTCAAACGAAGAGCCGTCCCGATGGCGGAGGAGATTAAGAAAGCACAAAAAAGGTACAAAGGAGGAGTTGAAGGTGGTGGGGAGAAGCGGGGGACGGCTGGCTGGCCAGTCGCTCGGCTCGCCTTGCCTTGTCATGCGTGCTGATGCCGGTACCGGGCCACGGATCATTTTGTGATGCCAGTACCGGGCCGTGGCACAAAAAAGGTTGGGGGCCACTGCTCTAACCTATATTGAAATTCTGAATAGTAATACATATATCCATAACATGATACACTCCCTTTCAGGGTAAGCAATATTATGCAGAGTCCAGAAAGGGAGGAAAGCATGAGATAGGAAAAGAAAAGGAAATATAGCTAAACCTACTTTATAGCAACACCAATTACCATACCTCCTGATACCTCACAGGATTGATACTGTGATAGAGAGAATATGATACAGTATATGTTCATTTGATCTTCTGTAGGGGAAGGTAGGATACAGATAACAAGTAAATGCTATAAGCTATTCTGAAAAAAAACTTTGAAGGCCATTTCACTTGTTTATAATGCATACAAAGAAATAAATAGTAGTTTGATCAACATGATATAGATAACCCTGCAGTTTAGATCAGTAAGAGCTTTTGGTCAATTTGATACTTCATATATCTTTAGAACTCCAGGCAGATAGCAGAAAATAAAGATTATGAAATTCTTGATGGCTGATCAGCAGAGTTTTTATATCTTACAAATTATATATTCCCAATGCAGAAGACTGTTGAGAATACAAGTGGTCCTTGCTTAATAACACTGATTCAATGACTGTTCAAATTTACAATGGTACTGAACATGTGTCCCCAGTCAGTGTCCTCATAGTCATGTGATTGTGATCCAGGCACACTCGGCTTCCTTCTTTGCTAACTTCCTGCAAACAAAGTCAATGGGGAAGCCAGAAGGAAGTTGCACATGGCAGCCAGAAGTGCCAGGATGTCCATCACTAAGCAGTGTGGTCATGTGATATTGCATTTTACAATTGCGTTGTTTAGCAATGGAAATTCCATTGCCAATTACCACTATTAAGTAGGACTACATACATACATACATGTTCCCATCTCTATAAATAATGGGAGGAATGGGAGAATTTTGTAATAAAAATGTCATACTATTGTTGTGTTTCTTATGATGCTTAAATAACAATTTTAAATTCTACGGCATTAAGAAAATAGAAGGGAGTGTCAAGCAGTTTAGCTATCAGAGCTCACCTTAGGCACCCAGTGGCATTGCGCAGCACCTGTGATGAATGAAGTTGAATTTTGTGGTCATCCTGAAGGGGGGAATTTTCCCATCCAGAATGAGGAATGATCACTGCATTGGTCAACACTGCTAGAGCATCCTGGATAATTGGCATTTTCAGTGCATCACAAGAAGATAGATTCCAGAGGACTCCTAAAAGGAAGGAAGCAAAGAATTGATATTTCTTCTAAAATCAGAATGAAGAGATACTGCACAAAAACACTACCTGAACATTCACATGTGAATCTTCAAATGTTCACTGTTTTCTACAGAATCTAGGGCACCACATAAGGGCACGTAAATATATACATATCACAGTCTTCATCAAGGCTCAGCTATTTAATTCATTCCATTATTTCATTTAATATAGTCATATCCTGTATTCCCACCTGATCTCCTAACTAGGCTGGACCAGAATGAGACTTCACAAAATCTTGTAGGTCTCCACAAGAATGTTACAACACGCCCTAGGGTATTCAGATGTTAATTGTTGTCCCGGTTCAGCCAAAAGCTTTCTCTGTCTTCACTTCCTCCAGCACGTAACTTGTCTGGTTGAGAGGTTCTTTGTGACGGCCATTACTGACCGTTGCTTCACCACCTTTGGAAAAGGGAGTTAAGCCGGCTGGGAAGGGGGGGTGCGATATCCCCCGACCCCTGCCCGGATCCCCCCTCTCTTCAGCTATCCCTACAGGATAACTATAGTCTCCTAATCCAATTGGATCGAAGGCACTCCAGCAGCGAGCACAGCAGGAATCGCGCACAAACGCGAATTCCTGCTGCCTCCGAAGCCTGTCAAACCGGAAGGAATACCCTGGAACTTTGGCTTTTTAAGTGATATATTGTTTCCCAGAGGATCGTTAAGCTGCGGTGGAAAGTAAAGGGAAAGTTTTTTCTCTCCTCACTTTCCTTCCCACGGAGAAAGCAGATGGAAATGGGAAATACCCGCTTTGGCAGTAGAAGGTACTAACTTTCAAAATTGAAGCCAAGGGGACATTACATTTCTAAACACTGATATTTTAAAATTTAATTTTTTTTGCTTTAAGTGGGAAGGAAGAGAGGTAAATGATTTATACTAATGTTTGTTGAAGGAGACTGCTTGGAGTTTTATAAGATTAGAGATTAAATTGCAATAAAACTTCCAAAAAATGCCTTGGAATTGTGTAATTGAATTCTGCCCCAGGAAGAGAAAGTAGAAGAAAGTGAAACAGACTGTGCTGACTTTGATTGCTTGATGACTTTGGGACCTTAACTATCTTTTGAAAGACTAAGAAAACATTTGGATTGTTTAAAAAAAAATCTTTTTTTTACAATGGTATCTGTTGAAGAACTGAAAATGCAATTTGAAAGACTAAGAGAAGAGGAAGAGGGCTCTTTTGGATCTATCTTTTGCTTTTTAGAAATGGCAATTTCTGCTTACCAGGAAATGCAACAAGAAAAAGGCTGGGATGATGAAGAAGAAGCCATCTTTAATGGACATATGTTTTTAAAAAAGGGTAAAAAGGAGAAGAAAATCAAGAATTTAAGTTCTAAAAAAACAATCAAGAAAGGGAAAAGTAAGGTGAAAAATCGATATAATGATAGAAAGCAACAGAAAAGAGGAATACAACAGAGAGGAGAGATTAAAAAGTTGGAGATGGGGGGGGGGTAAAAAGGTTAGATTTGATAAGGAAGGAAGGGACAAAGCGAAGGGAAGTTATAAAGACTTAAAACAAGATGTTAATAAACAATTTTTTTTCAGAGATAAAGGGTAAAATATAATTTAAATAGAGATTCTGCAAAGGTACACAAGACTGTATTTTAGTATTTGTATTTGAAATATGTGTTTATAGAATACTGTAGGGATTGTGTAATTAATGTTTAATTAACTAATTTGTTATGGAACACTATTTTTAATATACTATAAGATTATTATGTTTTATATTTTAAAATGTTATGTAGAATGTACTAAGCAGAATCAGAATAGAAACTATGTCTAATTTTAAGTGTTAAATTTGGGGGGAAAATAGAAAGGTGTCATACTTCAACCAGTCATTACAGGAAAAAGTTTGTGTTTAAGAGAAAGATAAATGGATAATTGAAAAAGAACGGACAAAAGATACAAGTGTAATGATTTAAATTGAGATTAAATAAATAAAATAGAATTAAGAGAGTGAAAACAGGGGAGAAGATATATGCAAAATGTAGAATTTTAAATAAGATATGAAATAGTATATAAGCTGAGCATGAATTTGATTTACGTCTGTACAAAAAGTTATAACCCGAGGTTAAGCCGCTTTCTAAAAAGAAGTTTTATATTTTTATGTTATGTATTTTGTTAGTCTATGTTTGTCCATTGAGGAGTAATGATGTTGGATAAGAACATATGAAATAGTAACAATATGAAATATAGTAATATGAAATATATGAAAGTATAAGTCTAATGAATAAAATTGAACAAAAATAAAGGAAGAAACAGTAAGAAGGTGGAAAACAGTAATAAGATATGAAGTTTAATATATAAGATGCATATTAAATTGTGTGTGGAAACGTGATAATTTAGAACTATATTGTACTTAAATGAGATGTCTTATTTGTTTTGTTAAGTAGTTGTTAGAAAAGATGTTTTATGTTCTTATATCTTATGTTTTGTTTGTGTACTCTCTTTGAAAATTAATAAAATTTGTTTTTTTAAAAAAAAGAATGTTACAACACGCCCTAAAACTTCACTCTGGCAACATTTGCTCAATGCAAATGTCACAACTGTCTGAGGTGGTATAGCTTTCTGGCTTCCCAATCTCAGATGACAAACCTGAGGAGGCATGATGGCTCCCAGCCTTCTTGAGTTTTTAGATCTTGTCTTGTTCATAAGACTACACAAATGTATTTACAACAGTAGACTCTTAGAATAGTATCACTTGCCTACATTGAGATCAATTTGGAAAAACCTGTTTACTCTATATTTGTCATCCCTAGTCATTTACTCCCTATTTATAGCAAAAAGTATAATTTTTATATAATTAAAATTTTATTTTAATTTATTTGTTGTGTTCTATAAACTCAGTGATTAAGAGAGGTGGCTTAATTTTTTTTTAAAAAATTGCAATTTCTCATCATCACCTGAAAAACAGAATGGTAAAAATAAAAGTTATATTGAATACTGCCCAGAGTCCTTTGAGGAAGATTGGTGGTTTAGAAATATGAAAAATAAATAAAGGCAAATTAATTTAGCAAATATTTAATGAATATATACCATTCTTAAAACATGAATACATAAAACAATCAGGAAAGAATTGAATGTAAATAGGTGAGATTTCAAATAAAACTATCCTTTAAATAAAACCATCCTCTAATTAAAATACAACTATTAAGTTGTTACTGTTGGGAAATGTTACAGATTCACATTTGACTATGCAGTGCATTGATTGAGACTATTAGTGTATATAACGCGGCATTGTAGACAGGAACTAGAAATGATTAACCATTGTTTCAATAGGAGAATTCTCCCAGTGAAATATAAAGATGGCAGAGACTGAATTTGAAACCTTGCCAAAGAATTACTTTTTCGTACCTTGTAATGATATGTATAAAATATGTTATTTTGGGATCTACAGGGCATCTTCTATATTAGGACCTCCATTTTTACATTACGTATACCAATAGGTAGATTTAGCCAATCCCCTTTGTTATTCTTGAATGCATCTCAATATTGTTCCTGAACTAATGAAATGATTTTCACGTCCATAGTAAAAAGCAATTTTTCTACTGTTTGGACTGATGGATTGGATGGGGTAAACATCTCACGCACCACTCCTCTTTGTTGTGTTGACTCCAAACAATGGGACTCATGGTAGGGTCTGACACAAAACTATCTAATCATGTTGATGTTTATATGTAATATTATATGGATATTTAATAACATATTAATACCAAAATGCTCACATGAGCTCATTTGCTGGAATGAAAAAATCTCACAAAGATGAAATGGAACCCTGTAATTTGTTGGGGGAAAAAAAAGTCCAGCACACTTGAACAGGATAATAGAGAGGTGTTTCCCACCCCATCAACATTTACTAAAAAAAAAAAAATCCAGCCTGTGTCTTGGCACTTATGCTACATGAATAACTAATATAAAATGTTATAATTAATGTCACAATAAAAACTTACATATCCATGACTACACACTTCAATAATTGAAGCTAATGTCAAGAATACTTTTGCAGAAATTTAGTACATTAATTAAACATATACATGAGACATGTTCTACCCATTCACAATTTTTCAAGCAAGTCTGAATACTATCTTATTCTATATGTCAAAATACTTTACACAAAACTACTTAATAAAAGAAATTGATAAAAGTATTACATTATGTTTAACTATACACATTTCCTCTGAAAATGTCAAAGTTTCTATATTTATTTTCTCTTGTGAACATTCTGACATCCAGAAGTCTCAACTGTACAGTTACATAAGAAAAGCCATACCTTCTCAAGCCTTTGTAACTGAAATGGGCAAAAAACCCAGTAGGGAAGAACTAACTACCTGGCTGGAGCTAGGATTTGTTTTCTAGCCAGCCCTTTCTGCCAATTTTTCCACACTTTCTGAACAAATTGCTTGGAGAAAATTGGCTAGGGGATTGGTTCAGTGATGGAAATGAGAGAAGCACTGCAGATCACTGGTTAAGTACAAATAATGTTCTCATCAGTTTTAATCAGTCAAGAGCTCACCACTCATTTTGGACTGTAATTTACATCACTGCCAGTCTGTATGAGACAATGAAAGGGAACTATTCTTGAATGTATTCAGATGCCTATTTATTAGCAGGTTGTGAATTAATCAGATAATGAAGGTAATATTTGCTTAGGAATGGATAGAAAACTGGCCAAGATGAGGGAGAACTAGTTTCACATTTCCCTCCCAAACTGTCTTTTATAGCCGAGAATATTCCACTAAGAAAAGACTGAAAAATAATGCTGTGCTAATACATTTATTTATAGTAAAGAGGCTCCTTCCTCATCTCTTGCTCTCTTACGTGCATATGCAGGTGGCGTTAACTGCTATGTTTTCTCTTTAATTCATTAATAAATCACAGATAAAAGGCATACTGAGAAGCAGAATTCCCCATTGTTATTTATGTTCCCTAGGGCCTACTTCTCCCTTGCAGCGAAGTAGTG